AAAATGAGCGGGATTTTTTTTTTTTTTTTTTTTTTTTTTAAGAAATAACGTAAATCCTAGAGGAAAGCCAACGGGAGACCTCGTGCGGCTCGCCTCCCCAAACATTGGCTCTCGGTGTCCCGCTCCGCTTTTACGGCCTTAAAGCGGGCTGCTCAAAGCGCGTGCTTCACAAGCCAGCGGTGGGACCGGCGAAAAGTCGTTCCCGCTTTAAGAAGCCGCGCAAGGCGGCGACTCGCGGAGCAGAGGCTATTCTCGCGAGAGCCGGCGAAGTGGCAGCCATGGCGGCGACTGGAGCAGGACCTGGCCCTGGAGCGGGCTCCGGTCCTGGTGCCGGAGCGGCTGCAAGTGCCGCCACAGCAGAAGACGGAGAGGCGGAGCCGGTGGCCGCCGGGGCCGGGGAGGGGCCGTCTGCTGCCCCGGGAGCGGAGCCCAGCTCTGGAGAGGCTGAAAGTGGGTAAGACATTCGCAGCCCGCGAGAGCCGGCGCGGGAGGGAGGGAGGGAGGGCCGGGCTCGCCCCTCGTGGAATCCCGCGGCTCGCGCCGCTCCAGTGCGGCCCCCCCGGACCCAGGCCCTGCGGCCAACGGCTCGGTCCACCCGGTACCCTCTGCAACCCTGCAGCGCTGCTTGGCAGGTTGGCTCTGAACTCCACCTCAGACCTCATTTCCATCCGTGCCCGTGTGCGCCAAGCATGTTTTCCTCTCTCCCGCCTTTGCCCCCCCTTAGGACCTAGCTGGTGACTCTTCTCATACTAACTCCTGAAATAGCCCAGGAAGGAAACCTCCGGTCGTTACCGGCATGGAAGAAGTCACAGCCCTTCTGAAAGCACTAGGAAACCCAGATCGCTGTGACTTTCTCCCCCCCAGGACCAACTCGGTGCCATGTACACGTCTGTACTGACCAATTGGGTTTCACAGTCTTGAGTGCACCCCTTCTAATTTGGATTGTTTCCCTGGGCATCCAGTCCAGGACAGTCTTAGACTGGGAACTCCATCAGTGTTTGGTTCAACGGGTTTTGGTTTCGGAGTGGGTATTTTGGAGTTCATTTCTCTTGAAACTTCTTACTCTCTTTATAGGGATGCAAACTTGGTTGATGTAAGTGGTCTGGAGACAGAATCTTCTAATGGAAAAGATACTCTAGTAAGTATTATCTTCTTAGGCCTTTGAAAGGCAAATTCGATTTTGTTTAAAGTTTTTTTTATCTAATTTTAAAAGTGTAGTCAGCCAACCCATTTGATTCTCTTCCTGCCCCGGTGCCTCCAGGAAGGTGCTGGTGATACTTCAGAAGCGATGGATACCCAGGCGGGCTCTGTGGATGAAGAGAATGGTCGACAGTTGGGAGAGGTGGAGTTGCAATGTGGAATATGTACGAAATGGTTTACAGCCGACACTTTCGGAATAGACACCTCGTGAGTACATTTCGTAGTCTTATAGAGAGCGCTGTGTAAAATTTCAACACGGGGCTGGAGAGGTGGCTCAGCAGTTAAGAGCACTGGTTGCTCTTCCAAAGGATGGGGTGTGATTCCCAGCATCCACGTGGCAGCTCACGGGGTTCAGGGAACTTCAGTTCCCGGGGATCTACTACCTTCTGGCTTTTGCACAGATACACAAGCTGGGGAAAAAAAAAAAAACAAAAAAAACCCATAATTGTAAAAATTTGAAGAGAAGGGTGTATGGGAGTGGGGAAAAAAAGGAAATTATGTAATCATATTATAATCTCAAAAAATGAAAAGCATTTTTAAAAACAACACCAAGGGAAAATTTTTTCTTCAACATATTCAGCACTTGATTCAGTTTGTAGACAAAGTCAGTGGGCAGTATTTTGTGCTCACCCTCACCCCTATTTAGTGACCGGTATACTGACTGAAGAATTGTTATCAGTTAGTGTGTTTTAAGTATTGAGTGCAGAGGCCTATTAGGTAGACTGGGTATTGTCCTTGCTTTTAAACATACAGTGATTGGGAAATAAGACTATACAATTAAAGAGATTATCTGATTAGATTTGAGACTGTGTATTTTGAGTCCTGTGTAGTTTGGGTTTGGTATTTGCAATGGGCAAAGCCTGTTGTTGCAGAAATGTGAAGGTGTGGCATATAGTTCAGTGGTGGTGTACCTGCCTGCTGTGTGCAGAACCCTGGATGATCACCATCATCAGAAAGAAACTTGATTTCTCAAGAACATTGAGATAATCAGCGAGTGCTTTGCTTAAAGCATGCTTTGTTTCCTTTCTGATTGCTTACAATCTATCCCATGGGTATCATTTTTTTTCTGAGACAAAAAAAAATATGTCTAGATATGTACCTATTCTGGAGAATATGATACGATTCAGAGAATTAAAAAAATCACATGATCCAGAGAGAATGGTCTCCTTTTCTATGGAGTAGCTCAATGGCTAATAGGTGAGCCTTTTTGACTCGGTGTGAATAACTTATTAAGTTGATGGCTCTCTAACTGTAGCCCTGGCTGGCCTGGAACACCTTTTGTAGATCGGGTTGGCCTTAAAATCGCAGAAATCTGGGGCTGGAGAGATAGCTCAGTGGTTAAGAGTATTGACTGTTCTTCCCTAGGACCCGGGTTCAATTCCCAGCATCCATATGGCAATTCACAACTGTCTGTAACTCCAGTTGCAAGGGATTGGACAACATCACACATACATGCAGCAAAACACCATTGTACACAAAATAAAAATAAAGCATCTAAAAAAAAGGTCTCACATTAAAAAAAAAAAAAATTACAGAAATCCTCCTGCCTTTGAGTAAGTCTTTGTGGTTAAATTTTGAGTCCAGACAGGGCTGCATATTGAGTATCAGGCTAGCTAGGATGATAGATACCACAAGACCTTAGAAGGAAAAAAAGAAATGTATATTGAGTGGAGCTGGTGGTGCGTACCTATAGTTGAGGAACTTAGAAGGCTAAGGCAGGAGGATCACAAATTCAGTCAGAATGGGCTGTAGCTGATTCTAGACCAGGACCCTATCTCAGAAAAAGGCAAAGAGTGGACTGGTGAGATATCTCAGTGGATGCACACTTCCCAAGCAAGCCGGGCAACCTGAGTTTGATCCCTGGAACCCTTACGAAGATGGCAGGAGAAAACTGTGCCACAGGATCGGCCTCCAGCTCCCACATGCGCACCTTGGCAAGTGTGCCCATACATGTATCATGTATACGCACGACAGTAATAATAAATACACTTTGTAAAGGAAGAGCAGGGGACGTCAGAAGCGTGTTCCGTGGTTCACTAATTCTGTGTAATCTGGCTCACCCGCAGATCATGTCTACCTTTTATGACCAACTACAGTTTCCATTGCAATGTGTGCCATCACAGTGGGAACACCTACTTTCTCCGGAAGCAAGCAAGTAAGAATAACTCTGGAGTATTTTAAAAGATTGTTCCTTGGAAAACAAAAGGGATCCAGGTTAGCACACTTAGGATACCTTTGTTTAAGAACTGGTTGGAATTAACTTGGTATCTCCCCCTGAATAATTACAGTTGCCCATTTCAAATTTATTCAAAGTTACTGCTTTTGGCTGCCCCCGTTATTATTTTGTAGACCACTGTCTTGGTTTCTCTACCTGTTGATGCGATAAAAATACTCTGACAAAAGCAAGGTAAGGGGAAAGGTTTTGGGGGCTCACAGTTCCGGGTCACAGTGCGTCATGACTGTGAAGTCGCAGCAGCCGGCCTTTGAGGGAGCTGGCCACATTGACTTCATAATTAGAGACAGAGCAGTGCGTTTAAGCTCTGCTTGCTTTTCTCCTGTACAGTTCAGGATCCCCTGCCCAGGAAATAGTACTACCTGCAGTGGGCAAGCCTTCTGAACGCCACAGAATCGAGATAATCCCCCACAGACTGGCCATAGGCCAGCCGGATGTGGTTAATACCTGCCTGAGACTCGGGTGGTCCAGCCGGATGTAGATAATCCCTCCCTGAGACTGGGGTGGTCTAGCCAGATGTGGATAATCCCCCACTGAGACTCAGGTGGTCTAGCCGGATGTAGATAATCCCCCACTGAGACTCAGGTGGTCTAGCCGGATGTAGATAATCCCCAACTGAGACTCAGGTGGTCTAGCCGGATGTGGATAATCCCCCACTGAGACTTGGGTGGTCTAGATTGTGTCAAGGTGAAACATCACATCTACTGTGTTGAATGTGTGCTCCTGTTGATAGAAATCCAGTATTGCAGACACATCTTTTCCTTTTGTTTTTTGATAGATTTAAAAGAAATGTGCCTTAGTGCTTTGGCAAATCTAACATGGCAGTCTCGGACACAGGATGAACATCCGAAAACCATGTTCTCCAAAGATAAGGTATAGTGAGAATTAATGTAATTGCTGTATGCTAAAGAATCAAGGGAAACTTATAGATATTCTCTTGAACCACTCTAGTCTCCTCCATTTTTATGGTAAATCATCTTACCCTATTTTTTCCATATGTGGAAATGATAATTTACCAGTTTCTTAGTAGGTGTCATCTGGCTTAGCTGTTAGTATTATGAATCCTTGAATAAACTTGGTTGGCTTTTTGGAAGCAAGCAAGTCATCTATCACATAATCAAGTCTGGTGTCAACCAGTCTCTATGTAGCCTCAGCTGGCCTGGAACTTGGCGTCTTCAAACTGAGTCTTCCTGCTTCAGCCTCCCTGCTTCTTTCCCTAGAAAGAACACAGAGCTGGCTGACTGGTTTCTGACCTCATCCTTGTCCCTGAAGTGAACAATTGCTAACTGGCCAGGTGAGGGCCATTATGGGCAGCAGGCAAAGATGGACAGGATGGGGGCCACCAAGACACACTGCTGTCCTGTAATTTCTGTCTTTGCTTTAGAATGTAGTCTTGTGAAGGAAAAGTGCATGTAAAACACCGTTGTGTTACAAGTCAGTAGGCTCCTACAGCTTGTGCTTACCACGTCTTTATTATTGT